GTTTTAACACCTGCTGACGGATGTTTTTTAAAGTAAAGTGACTTATTGGTGCCGTCACAGGAAAAGAGCAGCAACCAAAGAGGGAGGAATCATTTTTAAACCCAATTTGTTACAGATTTGCTTGTTTTTGATATAAAACATGGATATTTTTGTGCTATTTGACAAAACAAAATGACTTTTTTGAGTTTTTACCTGATTAATAAACAAAACAAAGAGTCAGAAACAATATTGAAGTCGTCCAGACGGTGAGTTTCAGACGTTTTAACACCTGCTGACGGACGTTTTTTAAAGTAAAGTGGCTGCTGTGTTTTTACAGCCAAAGAGCAGCGTGTTAAACTGTCAGCAGGAAGTCTGACGGGTTCCCAGAAACATTTCAAAATAAAAGCACCCACCAGCCTCTCTCCGGACAGGACCTCCAGCAGCTTGATGAGCATGCGTCCGTCCCTCAGGTCCATGTAGAGGTCGGTGATCCGGCAGGACACCCGGGACAGGTGGGAGTTGACCCATTTGGTGAAGGTCTTCTTCTGCACCGCCTCACGCTCGTCTGCGGGACACAAACAGAGAGAAGGAGGTCAGAACCGAGCAGCCGCGACGTGAACATCAGCTGATGGTTCCCGACAGTCGCAGCTGCACGTCCGAGTCCTGCTGATGTCTGCAGGTGTGTTTGGACGTTTTCTCAGCAGCAGTGTTCCTGGAAAGCCGGAGTGTGTGTGTGTGTGTGTGTGTGTGTGTGTGCGTGTGTGTGTGTGAGAGGTTTCCTGTGTCTGACGGAGCAGACTAAATCCAAGTCGCTGCTGTAAATACGAAGCCTGACGGCCGACACCTGCCGTTTATTTCCCAAAAGACTGGCGCTTGTTGTTGCTGCTGCACACACACACACACACACACACATCATTACATAACCACTGATTTACTGTAACTGTAGCCTCACATCCATCCTGCTGTCGTCACAGGTGTTCAATCTAAGACAGAGATTATTCCCACGCTCCTTGAACTAACCGCCACCAAATCAGAGCTCGACATTCTGGTATTTTATCTCTTTCCTCGAGTCTTTTACCGTAAAACGTCCTCAAACTGGCCCGACAGGGACTCAGAGTTCAGGAGAATCGGAGGTTTTGTGGCTGTAAACAGGAGCTTCTGGTTCCTCTGAAGGCGTCTCATCTCTAAAACACCATCTATCAGTCAGACGTCAAAGCTTCCAACAGTCCTTGAACTAATCGAGCGCTACAAGCTCACAATCAGGATATTTCACTTTATTCTACACATTAATAACTCACCCTAAAACACAAACAGGATCTGTGTTCCTGGATCCAGAAGTTTATCGATAAAGGTTTTTTTTTCTGAAGCTGAAAACTTTCAGACTTCATAGAAAAGCTGCTGACTCTGACCTCTAACGACCAGCAGCACTTTAATTAGACTCCTGACTTCACGTTTAGAAAATTCAATCCTCATCAAAAACTTGTTAAAAGTCCAAAAACTGTGACTCAGAAAGTTCAGAAGATTCGATGGTGTTTCAGCTTCCTGGCAGCAAACAGACCTCAGGTCAGCTGTCTGGAATAAACACGTCGCCATGACGACATTCATCAGCCAGAAAACGTAAAAAATAAAATAAAACAGTCAGATTATGAATCACGTGAGGTGCTGCTCAGCTGGAAACGTTCCTGACTTCACATCTTCATATTTTACTTTGAGAAAATAAAAACTAATCTCATCCTTTACACTCATCAGACTCTGTTCTAAACACTGAACGTCGGCTCCTCGGTGCAGCCGACGGTCACAGGAACAAGAATCAGACACTTTGTGGTTGAACTTCTCTCAGAAATCAGTCCAACAATCACAGTTCACTTTGTTCTACGTGTCATTAAAAACCTGCCAGAAATAAACCAGGTTCTATGAAGAACTAATGAAGATCAGAAGCAGAGTCCTGATGGGTCGCCTCCAGGTTTACAGAACACAACCAAAGACTTCACAGACTTCAGGAACTTTAGAAAACCATCACGAACCCGAACCTTCAGCTGAACATTTATTTACAGTTTATGCTCCAACAGAACCAGAAACACACCATCACTGGACTGTGTGTGTTCTCAGTGAACAAGATGTTCATGTTTCTGTAAATCGTATCAGGACAGACACAGGAACATCCAGACATCACCTCCACCACCTCCATCACCTCCATCTCCTCCACCATCTCCATCTCCTCCATCTCCTCCACCAGCTCTGACCTGCACATCGTCGTGTTAACAGAACAAACGTTCCGCTCAGGAGGAACGTTGACGTGACCTTTGGATGAACGGCAGGAATGTTTCACATCTCATGTCAGAGTCGGTTCGAGTGTTTCCTCCTCCGGTGAACTCGGGTCGTTTGCTGCGACTCGGTCACAGGAAGGAGCTGCACAACCAGGAAGGACACGCCCGCCTCCCAACGCTGCTCCGTCCTCAAAGGCTACAGGACTGGGTCTACACAGAGTCCACGTCAAGTAAAGCTGACGGTAACACAGGACGCCTCCGGCCGTCAAAGGTCGCCTCCGGCCGCCGACACGCTTCCATCTAACGTTTCACTCGCGTGAACTCGAGCTGCTGAATTCATCTCCGTCTGAGTGAACGCTGAGCTCTAGTCTGAGTAGAAACCCATCGCTGGTTTCAGAGGCTCGCTGTCTTTAAAACAAACCGCCAAAAAAACATTTATCAGAGAAACTGTAAACATGGAGAGAACGGTGAGATTTCCAACTTTTCGATGGTCTGGTGACGACTGGTTTGGTTTTTAGAATCTGAGCCTTAAAAACAGATAAAAAACAAACGGTTTGCTGTAAAACCTAAAAGCACAGCGCTCCTCAGCTGTGAGCGACCGTCTGGTGATGAAAACTCAGGAAACACACTCGACTGGACGGCAGGCAGCGTTTGCTCAGAGCACACAGAATAAAAACAGCTCAAATGTAAAATAAATAACTCTGTGTATGTAGAAGCAGTTTGTTTGGACGCCTGTTGGTTCCTGGGTGTGTCTTCAATTCATAAAGTCAGTGAAATTAATAAAATAAATCGATGAAATGAAACCTTAAGTTTTAAACATGTTTTTATGATTGAAGGCGTTCTGTCTGATCCTCTCCTTCTGGTCCTGGTTGTTCTGGTTCTGGAGCTGCAGCCCACGGTGAGTAACAATGTTCTGAGGCTTTAACTGAACCAGACAAACCCGTCACCTGCGAGCCTTCCCAGAGCTCCTGGTCTCAGCCAGAAGCCGGACAGGAATAAACTCTTTCTGAACTGTGGGAGGAAACCGGACCGACTGAAACGTCCTCGCAGCCGATAACAGTTTCTACATGCAAACAAACGGTCACACAGATTCCTGACCTTCGGCGAGCGCGTCGCCTCTGAGCGGACAATAGCTTCAGTGTTCGCCGGCAGCACAAACACAACACGCACACGCTGGGATATCGGAGGAAGTATGCGGCCCGAGACGCCGGCGGGTCTGCCATTGGTCAGATATCCACGGGAGGAAGCGGCGTGGACGACCGGCAGGAGTCTCCGACGCCACGGCCGGGTGAAACGAAACCTTTAGAAAGCAGCTGGCAGCACAGAACCGGACCAGGAGAAGGATTCAGGCCTGGAAAAGTACAGAACGAACGTAAGGTGCAGACCGGACGGGTTACGTTCTGTCTTGGCACCACAGTTCTGTTCCACCTCAAGTTTCTGGAATCAAGTCCGACCTTCTTCCTTTAAATAAAAATATTTCATCTCAAAGGGTTTTAACTCTTTACAGGCTTGTTGTCTTTTTTAGAAACGCCAAAATGACAACATTTACCATGAAAATGAAACCTTGAAGCAGAAACATTCATCTGGTTTCAGTTGAACTGCAGACAGTGTTTCCACAGAGCCTGAAGATGCCAGTCGCCTGTGAAGAGATATCTGTGACTAGCGTAAGGATGCTAGTTGTTAGCCTCAGGATGCTAATTGCATGTCGATGGATACTTGTTCATTTATTATTTACATATTTACATATATAGACTGTAGTTTAATGCATGTGGACATATCAGTGCCAGTTCAGTGCTTATTGTGGTTTGTTTCAGGAGTGTTCTGGATCAATCATCACGTTTCAAGCATCTTTAACTTGAATTTCTATGAATATATTGTTCATATGAAGCCACACAGGCTGAGATCTGGACTTTTTCTTTTTTACATCCTGTTTAGAAGCTGCTAGTTTCAAGAAATCACATTAAATTATTTTATTTTACTTTATTCATATGAGATCAGCTGATGTCCTTCGTTAACGGCGTTTCTCTGTCGGTGAGTGAAGTCATTTCAGGTGACCGGCGGTAAACAAAGAGGTCTGATGAGCTAATGCTAAGCTACACACACACACACACACACACACACACACACACACATAAGCAGAACTCAATGTCATCGGCTTCAATTACAGTTTCTGGCTCTAAAGGTTCTGCTGAATCCACAAGAAGCAGCTGTGACAGTTTCATTAGAGCCGGAGAGGACGGCGGCGCATCGACGAGGCC